GGAGGGATGTGGGAGTTGCTTACGTAAGAGAAGGGAGGAGGTCGCTCCATCCCTCGCTTGCTGCGGACAGCTGTGGAAAAAGGGGTAAGATCCCTCCAGCCCCTGAATTCCGGCAGGGAGCCAGAGCCCAGCGCAGCAGAGGCCGAGACCCCGGGCAGCTCCGGGCTTAAGAACAAGCGCCCCGTTCAGCAGAAAGTCCGGTCTCCTTCACCCGACTCACCTCCTGGAGATCCCCATCTTGTGGGAAAGGATACAGGAGTGACTGGCTGCCTGTTCCACTTTCAATGTAATCGACATCTCTGAGTTTCCCTAGAAGTCTCCCATCCAAGTTCAAACCAGGCCTGATCCTGGTTAGCTTCTGACTCAGCCAAGAAAGCCAGGCGCTGCTATCTGCTGAGCAGAGACCCAAAGCTCAGCTGGACGTACCCCCTCGTTTACATTAATCGGAGTCTAAATTGTAGTTAGAGAGAAAAAGGATGTTTCAAAGCAGGAAAAAAACATGGCTACAAGCCACTTCTGTAAAGTGTAGAGAATGATCCAAAGGCGGCTGATACAGCTCTGCCCTGGAAATTAAACAGGCTGGTCTCGTAGTAGACAAATCATCTAGGGACATATGGCTCCTGCTCACCCAACACGGACGGCCCAGCCGCCCCCTCTCCCTTTCCGTTGCCTTGCCTTTGGGTGTCAACACTGTAGGGTGGCTCAGCCGGTCAGCCAGCGGCTGGGCTGGGGAAATTGAGGATGGTGCAAACAGAGTGAGCGAGTGGCCAGGCTCAGGGAAAGCTTAAAACCGCCTTCTTTCCCCCTTATTTTTTACCCTCTGCCCCAGGTCGTCCCACAGAGAAAGAGGGGACCACTGGAAGGACCGTGGAGGGTCTAGAAAAGCCTCGCTTCATGGGGCCTCGCTAGGATCTCATCTGATCCAGAGGTGAAATGGGACCCTTGATCTTCTGGCAGGGAGGTAGCTGCCTGCCCGGAAGAGGTTAACCCCGACAAGACCAGGTGGCTTGGGCTGATTTCAGCCCTTTTAGGGTCAGTGGACTGGGTCAGTTCTCCTTTTGTGGTGGTCCTATCATCTGCTGCCCCCATTGGGGAAGAGGGCCACCATCAGCCCTTTGCGGTAGTCCAGACAGGAAACCAAAACCATGAGTACTAACACTCCCTTTATTGTAAGGTGGCGGCGACCGAATCCTGCAGGTCTGAAAGCGCTTCTCCCCGCCTTTCCTTTTACTCGCCA